CGGAGACACCGGGGCGGGGAGCTGGGCACGCGCAGGGGCTCGGCGCACTTCTCCAGCCTCGAGTCCGAGGTATGACGCGGCCCGGGGGGCCCCGCCGCCCCCTCGGTCAGCGCAGGCCACGGCCCGAGGAGGCGCGCGCAGTGGACAGGACCCGAGTGGGCTGGGGAGGAACCGCACGCAACTGGCCGGACCCCGCCTGGAGCAGCGTCCTGCGCCCCCTCGCGTTGGGGGGATCACGAGCCAGAGGGGATCTGGTTGCCCAGATCTCACCCAGCCAGAGCGCGAGAGGGCGGGTGGGGGTCTTGGAGCCCGCCCGACTTTTTTTTAAAACCCGACAAGGGCTTTTTAACGTCACCAGAGGGGGCGGCAGGTGGAGGGTCGCGCCCCGCCCCGCCCCCACGCTCGGGGCCGTGGCCCCCACATCACTGTGCAGCTCCCCGGCCCCAGCCACACCTCCGGGGAAGCCCGTTTTTAACCTTTCATCCATCGGGACTCAAAACTGTGAGACGCGTTCGCCAAACTGTGACCCCAGACCTTCGCCCCGCCACACAGAAACCCCTGACCCCAGACTGTGACTTCCGACACCTAAAATGGTCCTCCGACCCCAGACTGTGACCCGAATCCCAGACTGTGCCCCGTCCAGACTTTGACCCTTGATATCAAACCGTGACACTCCCCTCCTTTTCCACCCTCGTTGGCTTTTCCCGACTTTGACCTAGGACCTGTCCCCAACTGAAGCCCCGCCTTCCCCTCTCCCACGTTGGTCCCAACCTCCTTCAGCCTAAACTTCCCACCTTCCCACCGCCCGTGCCAGCCCAGGTGCCACCAACCACAACCTCTCCAAATCCAACCCTAATTTGTCAGCCTCCGGTGATGACCCAGCAGATCCCCCAAAGTCTCCTCGTCCCAGATCTCCAGCCGGGCCTGGGGCTGGGTTGCGGAGGGGAGGGTCTGGGAGCCCACACTTCACCACCGACCTTTCTTACCCCTCTTCTATCCCGCCCCCTCACACACACACACATTGCAGTGTTTGGAATAAACCATGTTTTTATGCCTCCTCAGCCCACGCCTGACTGTGTGTCTGTCTCTTACCCCCCTCAACTTCTCTGGAGGAAACAAACTGAGAAAAGTACCACAGGGGAAAAGGAGACAGAACAGAGACTGAAGGGAGATGGGAGAAAGACCTGCGAAGAGAGGGGTCGAGAGGGGGCCCGGGTAAAGAGACCCCAAAAGAGTGGGAGAAAGATCGCCAGATCTTTTACAAAATGTTTTAGGATCAAATCTAGGGTCCCGTTTCCTGTGGTTACTGTCCACAAGTCTTGCTTGCTTGATAATATTCTGTTCATGCACGCGAGGATACATCCCAGCCAATCCTCAGTCTTGAATGCCATTAATCTTACCAATGAGAATCTACTTCTAACATTTCATTACGCCTATTAGCCAAGCCGCTGGTGCCAACAGGCGATACAGACAGCGGCCCCGCTGATAAGCGCTGCCTCCAGAGGGTGGACTTTCTGATTAAGTGCCCGCTGACCAGAGCTGCAATGTGAACGCCTGGTTAGGCACTTGACTGCCCCTAGAGGGTAAATTCAACGACTAACGCATAATACCCACACTGTCTACATGAAAGCGTTTTGAAATGCATTAAAGTCATCATAACAGGGAGAGAAGATACCAGCTTCATGGGTCCTAAGGGAGCCGAAACCCGGTCACCCTGCCAGTAAGTGCTCAAGTTTGCATACATGAATAATTAATTAAGTGGAAAGATAGCCCTGGGAATCAAAAGAGGAAGATGGAGACGAGTTCGGAACGCTAATGGGGAGGGGGGATAAACAGGCTTCCTTGTAAAACTACAACTCCCAGGAGCCCTTGCCTCTGCCACGCGGAAGGTCGACCCAAGGTCACGAGGAAAACAAAGTTTCTCCATAGCCGCAGGCTTCTCTGGCTGGTCTGGACTGTTACCTTAGTTGCCTTTCTCTTCCCGCACCGCCCTAATTGGTGCAACGGAGGTTTCCAAGGTAACTGCGCAGCGAGGCGGGTCTTAGAAAGTGAGAAATGAAACCCGGAAGTGACGCTATAACTCTGCGCCGGCGGGAAGAGGGTTCGAAGATGGCGGCCCGCAGGGGGCAGGGGCGCACGTGTACTACTGGAGAGTCCATGGAGACAGACTCTCGCGACGCAGATTCCGAGGGCCCGGCCCAGGTCTACCTACCCGGCCGGGGACCGCCGCTGCGCGAAGGGGAGGAGCTGGTCATGGACGAGGAGGCTTATGTGCTGTACCACCGAGCGCAGACTGGTAGGCTTGAGAGCCCGGACTCCTAGATCCTGAGGGAGGAGAGGACTGGTCCTAAGCTTTTAACTTGGAAGGTGCCCAGGAAGAGAAGGCTGGGACCTCAGGGAGGTGATGTCACACTGCGGACGGCTGGTTTCTGAGGGAGGTGGAGACGGAGATCGCGCTATCTCATGCTCACTGCCCAGCCCCTTCCATCCCCAGGAGCCCCCTGCCTTAGCTTCGATATAGTGCGAGATCACCTGGGAGACAACAGGACGGAGCTTCCTCTTACACTTTACCTGTGTGCGGGGACCCAAGCGGAGAGCGCCCAGAGCAACAGGTGAGACCCGAGGCATTCCCAGGTCCAGGGGTCCGAACCCAGGAATTAGGGCTTCCAGCTTCTGCCGCACCCCACCCGAGAATTTAGGTTTCCAGCCTCCGTCCTCTCTAAGCATCTTGGCATCCGTTGTCCAACTTACCCAGTACTTCCCCCCAGACTGATGATGCTTCGGATGCACAATTTACATGGCACAAAGTCCCCGCCCTCAGAGGGCAGTGATGACGAGGAGGAAGAAGATGAAGAGGAAGAAGAAGAGCGGAAGCCTCAGCTGGAGCTGGCCATGGTACCCCACTATGGCGGCATCAACAGGGTTCGGGTAAGTACTCTATGGTTCTAGTGGTGTGAGGATAAAAAGAAATAATGTATATTGTCTGGCTTTTGTTTTTTTGTTTTTGTTTTTTTTTTTTCTTTTTGAGACAGGGTCTTGCTGTGCAGTTCAGGCTGGTCTTGAACTCACTTTGTAGCCCAGACTGGCCTCAAACTCAGAATGACCCTCCTGCCTCAGCCTCCCGAGTGCTGGGATTACAGGCATGTGCCACCATGCCCAGCTCTAATGTGTAGTTTCTGGAACAGCCTTTGGTTGTAATGTGAGGTGTGAGTTTTTTACTAAATTACTCAGGAACTATTGGGCTATAGGAGTTTTGTTTTGGGTTTTTTGCTTCAGAGGCAAAGCATCTTCTGATTAGGTAGACATGCGTGTGCCAGGCATGGTGACACACACCTGTAAACCCAGCACTTGGGAGGCTGAGGCAGGAGGATTGTCTTGAGTTCAAGACCAGCCTGAGCTACAAAGTGAGCTCAAGGCCAGCCTGAACTGCGTATCAAGACCCTGCCTCAAAAAGACAAAAAAGGGGCTGGGGATTTAGCTCAGCGGCACAGCGCCTGCCTGACAAGTGCAAGGTCATGAGTTCGATTCCCAGTACGAGAGAAAAACAAAAAAAAAAAAAAAGAGAGAGAGAGAAAGAATAAAAAAAAAAAAAGACATGCATGGAAGATGACAGGATGTACAAAGATCCCTTAGAGTAAGGTTTGCTACATAGCTGGTCCTGTGTTTCCATTAGATTGTTATTGCCACATCTCAGGTACTGTCCTGAGCCCTGAGGATTTAACTGCAGCCTCAGTGAATTAAATGAAGCAGTTCTGGCTCCATGGAGAGAATATATGCTAGTGGAGAGAGAATAAAAAGAAGCTAAGCGCCAAGCATGGTGGCGCACGCCTGTAATCCCAGCACTCTGGAGGCTGAGGCAGGAGGATCATTGCAAGTTCGAGGCCAGCACGGGTTACAAAATGAGTTGAAGGCCAGCCTGAACTGTATAGTGAGACCCTGTCTCAAAAAGACCAAAATAAAAAAGAAGCTAAGTAAACGTATAGTATATCAAAAGATGCTAAGTACTGTGGGAAAAACTAAAATAAGGCAGGGCAAGTTACTTTTTTTTTTTTGAGTCTCACCATGTAGTTCAGGTTGGCCTTGAACTCATTGGGTAACACAGGCTGGTCTTTTTTTGTGTGTGTGTGTCTTTTTGAAAAAAGGTCTCAATGTGCAGTTCAGGCTGGCCTTGAGCTCACTTTGTAGCCCAGGCTGGTCTCGAACTTGAAACGATCCTCCTACCTCAGTTTCCCAAGTCTGGGATTACAGGCATGCGCCACCACGCCCAGCCACAGGCTGGTTTTGAACTCATAGCAATCCTCCTGCCTCAGCTTCCCGAGTGCTAGGATTACAGGTGTGCACCACCATGCCCAGTTTGAAAAGGTACGCTTTGAACAGAGATCCACAGGAAGTGAAGGAGTGAGCCAAGGATGTCTGTGGGAACAAATTTGCAAACAAGGAAAATAGAGGTGCAAAGGCCATGGATTGAACTTGGCATATTTGAGGAGTTTCAAGGGAAGCTGTGAAACTAGTGTGCCTGGAACAAAACGGGCAGGAAGAAAGTGACAGAGAGTGGCTGCAGAGGAGAGAATTTCTAGGGCCATGAAGATTCTTAGACTTACTGGAGAGAAATTGAGACCCACTAGAAAATTTAGAGCACAAGAAAGGTAAGGATCTGGCATTTGATGTAAAGGGACTCCTCTTCCCAGCCGAGGTGGCACACGCCTGTAATCCCAGCATTCGGCTGAGGCAGGAGGGTCATGAGTTTGAGGCCAGCAGATGAGCCCTGTGACCCTTCAGCAACGGGTGGGAAGGGCAGGAGTCAGCATGCCGGGATGGCTGGCGGGACTTGCAGTCTCCGCGTGCCGGTGTCTGGGAGCTTTGTCGACCCATCGTTCTGCCTGCGTCACTCCAGTGTGGGGCATGGGTTAGGGTTAGGTAAATTACAGAACTTACCTGATGGGACTGATGTGGGCAGTGACCAGGTAGCAGCTGGCCTTGCAGGTTGTGATTTTACCCCACAAAGGTTTCTGGGAGTTGTAGTCCCAGCGCTGGGCACCTGAGAAACTACCCTGAGTCCCCGCTCCCTCTGTTTCGCGAACCCCTCTCCTGCAGGTGTCCTGGCTGGGGGCGGAGCCTGTTGTGGCCGTGTGGTCAGAGAAAGGCCAGGTGGAAGTGTTCGCGCTGCGGAGGCTCCTGCAGGTGGTGGACGACCCCCAGGCCCTGGCCGTCTTCCTCCGGGACGAGCAGACCCGAGTGAAGCCCATCTTCACCTTCTCTGGCCACATGGGGGAGGGCTTTGCCCTTGACTGGTCCCCTCGGGTGCCAGGTGGGCCCCTGGGGCCTGCCCGGGGTCTGGGGAGGTGGGAATGGACAGCCATGGTGAGCGCTGAGCTGTGGCCAGGTCGGTTGAGGTCATTTAACTTCCTCCCCAGGTCGCCTGCTGACCGGTGACTGTCAGAAGAACATCCATCTCTGGACACCTACAGACGGTGGCTCCTGGCATGTAGACCAGCGGCCGTTTGTGGGCCACACACGCTCCGTGGAGGACCTGCAGTGGTCCCCAACCGAGGACACGGTGAGGGAAGCCAGGGGCCTGGGCACCTGGGTCCGTGGAGGCACCTAGGGACATAGGACCCTGGGTGTCCGGGGAGGAGGCACTGAGCTGGGGCCTGGCAGGTTTGCCGCCCAGGTGTGAGTCCCAGGGACACTGCAGAGGGGGTGGCTCCCCACCAGCTCCTGGTCCTCAGGGTAAGGTAGGGACATCTGATCTCTCAGACTCACTCTGTCTTGCCCAGGTATTCGCCTCCTGCTCAGCTGACGCCTCCATTCGCATATGGGACATCCGGGCAGCCCCTGGTAAGGCCTGCATGCTCACCGCAGCCACCGCCCACGATGGGGACGTCAACGTCATCAGCTGGAGCCGCCGGGAGCCCTTCCTGCTCAGTGGTGGGGATGACGGGGTCCTCAAGGTCTGGGACCTGCGACAGTTCAAGGTACTTTTTCTTTCAGCAGCCACTGGGATCTGCAGCTTGCTTGCTTCTATGGTCTTGACCCAGCCAGAGCTGGGAAGGTCCCTGGAATGGGAAGGCAGCCGCCCTGCTGAGGCTCAGCAAGAGAAGGCTGTGAGCGCGGTGTGGGGTCCCTCACTCCACCCTGTGAGTGGCTGACAAGCAATGGAGAGGGTCCGAGCAGCAGGGACTACAGCCTCCTCCTGACGTCAGGCAGGAGTGCTGCTGACTGGTCGGCCCATGGGCTCAGGGCCTTCAGGAATTAGAGTTTGTGTTCTCACGGACTTTAGAGCATCAGCTAAGAATTGGAGACGAGCTCAATCATTGCAAGGGAAGAAGCGGGCACAGAAAGGGCAGGAGCGGCCAGCGGCACATGCCTGTAACCCCAGCACTGGGAGGCCTGCGAAGAAGATGATAAGTTTGAACCCAGCCTGGGCAATGTAGTGACCTAGCGAGACCCGGTCTCAAAAAGGTTTTTTTGTTTTCTTTTTGAGAAAGGGTCTCGCTATGTAGTTCAGGCTGGCCTTGAACTCGTGGTGATCCTCCTGCCTCGGCCTCCCAAGTGCTGGAATTACAGGCCTGCGCCACCACGCCTGGCTCTCAAAAAGATTTGAAAAGGGCTGGGGTGTAGCATAGTGTGAAGGCTTGGTGCTGGGGGGCGGGGCAGAGAAAAGAGCACCCAGACGAGCACTGAAGGAAGCCCCTGAAGGGCACCCAGGGCACTGGCAGGGGTGGGGCACCTGTGGCTTGGGGCTGATGAGGGCTTCACAGGTGCAGCCCCAGCTCCCAGCAGCTGTTCTTTGCTGTGCATCCCTCCGTGGGCTGGGGTTTGTGGGGTGTTAACGGGAGGGTGTTAACTGCGGCCAGTCCCCAGGTGGGTCTTTTGGAGCCCCTGACGCCCGCCCTCTCCCACAGTCCGGCTCCCCTGTGGCCACCTTCAAGCAACACGTGGCTCCTGTGACTTCTGTCGAGTGGCACCCACAGGACAGTGGGGTGTTCGCAGCCTCGGGCGCAGACAACCAGATCACACAGTGGGACCTGGCGGTGGAGCGGGACCCCGAGGCGGGTGAGGCGGAGGCCGACCCGGGCCTGGCGGAGCTGCCCCAGCAGCTGCTGTTTGTGCACCAGGGCGAGACAGACCTGAAGGAGCTGCACTGGCACCCGCAGTGCCCTGGCCTCCTGGTCAGCACCGCCCTGTCGGGCTTCACCGTCTTCCGCACCATCAGCGTCTGAGGCGCCCTTGCACTGGACGCTGGCGTTGAGGCCGGTCTCCCCGGCCCCCTGGAAGGGGTGCATTCAGGCCTACTGACTGGACCCCCAAAAGAAGGGGCCCCATGGATTCTGTGGGCTTCGTGTTCTCCAAAGGACTTGGTTTGACCCATGGCCTCGGGCAGCCACTGGCACCAAAGACCCCCACCTGGCAGAGGGCTCCACTGGCCACGTGTGGCCCGAGTACCCGATTTCCGTCACCTTTGATTCCTGGCTCGACCCTTCGACCTCCGTCCTGGGCCAGAGTCAGCTGCTGCCTTCCCCCAAGGGCTTTGCCGTGGCTGGACCCCAGTTCTCAGGGCTGGGTTCCTCCCGCCACCTGAGCCTGAGACTTCCCAGTGCTTTCCTGGAGCGGGAGGCCGGGGCTCCTGACTGGCAATAAAGGACCAGATCGGGCCCGAGTGTGTGCGCGGCCTACCCTCCCAGCCAGGCCCTGTGTGCACGGCGGGGGGGAGGCGGGGAGTTGGCACCCCTGGGTCACCAGTCTGCCAGGCTGCAGCAGGCTGGCCCTCAGCCCGTTGGGTGGCACTTCCTCCGCCTCACCTCATTTTATTCAGGAGCCCACTCTGGGTCAGTGAAAGGGCAGCTCATCCTGTGCCCCCCAGTTTACTAAGGCGACCCAGGAGCCCCATCTCTGGTCCCATTCGTCATCTCGCCATCTCTGTCTGTCCCCTGAACTGCAGCTACTGTGTGTCCCCATCTTCCTGTGGTTCCCGGCTCCCTGCCCCCCACCTGCTCTCTGCCGGGCTGCTCCAGCCTCCTAGGCCTGGGCCGGGCGCCCTGCCTGGCCGGCCTCCCTAGCTCCCCCTCTGCAGCCGAGCCGCCCCACCCCCGCCGTCCGCACTCAGCCTCTGATCCGCTGTGGGCTCAGAGGTCTGTCCGGGCTCCAGGCCCTGGGGGCCAAGGACCGACTGCAGCACCCCAGAGGCCTCCCTACAGCCCGAGCGGAGGAGCCCCCAGCACAGGGCATGGGGGTGGGCCGCCCCCCCAGGTACGTGACCCCCAAGAGGGCTGGCCCGAGAGCCAGCCCACCGTCCTGCCAGGCCTTCCTCAGTGCCAGTTCCAGCCCCGGGAAGCCTGCTGCCCCAGATCGGGGCTCCCCCCGTCAGACCCGCGCTGGCTTCCACCTTCCCTCACTAGGCCGTCTGTCTGGTCCTCTCCCACCCCTCTCTCAGCTCTCCCGGCTCTGTTTAAGACCTCAGCTCCGTGGCGCTTTTCCTGACCACTCCTAGTCTGCCGGCCTGACTCTTCCCTGTCCCCCGTGGGCCCTGTTCCCTTGCTGGGCTCTGCTCTTTCCCTTGGGGCCCTTCTCGCCGCCCCGCGTCCTGCCCGGGTCCAAGTCCTTTCTCTGCAGCCGCCCCAAGCGCCTCGCCGTCAGCTCCATGCCCCGTCCTGCTGGCTGGACCCCGCTGGCTCGTGGCAGTGGGGGGCACCTTTGGTCCTGGGGGGAGAGTGGAGTGCGTGTTAATTTAGGGGCAAGGAGGGCCTGAGGGCGGGGCTTCTTGGCCCCAGATTAGACAGTGACTTTGACACAAGTGGAAGCACCTTAAGCCCCACGGCTCCTTTATATGGAAACATTAAGCTGCTCTTGCAGGTCAGCTGGAGGGGGTACCTCAGGCTCGGGATCCTTTCCCTCCCCTCCCGCCTTGGTGGGGCACGGGGTGTGGGGGTGCCCTCAGCTCCAGCCCCTGCGCTACCCTGGGAGCTGGGCCATGTTGGGTGCAGACTGGGCCCCCTGGAGGTGAAGATTCCCGGGGGTCGGGTAGGCGGACCTGCCTCACAGGGCAGTGGCACCCAGGACTGAGGAGGCAGAGTCCTGGGTGGGGAAAGTTTGAGACCCACACCGGCTGCCTGCCCCAGCGCCGTGCGGGCCCAGCCAGCCTCCCTGCCCGACATGGGGTCGTCCTGAGCATTCAGGTGAGCCGGGGGTCTGGTGGCCCGGGGGCAAGGCCTGGCCTGGGACAGGTGTCCGGGGTACTGGCTGTGGCTGCCGCAAGGTCGTGGACCTGAAACTTGCATTTCTTTCCTTGAGGGCAGCGGAGGGTTTGCATGGAGAAGGTGTGGGATGGAGGGGTACAGGGTGGGGTGGGGTGGGGTGGGGGTGGGACAGTGCGGGTGCCCGCTCCTGCCCGCCCCTCCCCCTGAGCCTCTTGCTGGGAAGGGGCTGCAAGTGTAGAGGTTACATCTGGACTCTGACAGCACACCTGCCCCACTGGGTGACCTCCTGCTCCCCTCTCCGGAGAGCGGCCTCTAGCATCCAGGGTGTCAAGTGGGGAAAGTCCCGGGGAGGGCACTCAAGGGTGCTGGACAGAGCCGGGCTCCGTCACTCTGCCCCAAGCCGCAGCCTCGCATCTGTCAGGCGGGCCTGGCGAGTGTCCACACAGCCTTGCTCTCCGGGAGGTGCTGGTCCGGCAGGCACACAGGACAGCAGAGAAATGCTTAGGAAATGTGGTGGAAGTGATTGCAAATTATTTAACCCCTGGGAGCACTTCGCCCAGCCCCAGAAGTGGCCCTGCAGGTGTTGGTTAACCTGGGGCTGGGGGCTGCAGACGGGAGCTCTGCAGGACCCTGCCCAGCCCCTGGCCTCTGTCGCTGCACCCCGTGGGACTGCCGGGATTCCCTCCACTTCCCAGGCCTCAAGGAGGAGCAGAACCCGGCATCCTTCATCCAGCTGGGGAGTGGCCAAGCTGGCGTTCACCCTGAAGGCCCTGATGGAAGGCCGAGGCCTTCTGGGTCCCCTTCCTTTTCATTTGAGGGGACGAGGTACCACATTGCACAGATGAGCAAATCGAGGTTCTGGGGCAGGGAGCCGGGGCCCCTGGGCACACGGTCGGAACAGCCCTGGGGCTCTAGGATGGGAGCGTGCCTCCTGACTTTAGCAGTGTCCCTACTTTACAGCTGGTGAGGCTGAGGTTCCGAAAGAGGTGCCCCAGATCAGAAGGTCAAGCTGGGCCTATTTATTTGGTAACAGCTTAATGGAATAGAATTCACATGCCGTCCCATCTGCCCATTAAAGTGGACAGTGGCTTTTACTGCACAGTTGTACAGATGTCACCCTGATTAACTTTAAAGCATTTTCCTCACCCCCAGAAGAAACCCCACACCCTTTGGCGACCACTCCAACTCCCCCTTTCCCCCGGCTGAGGCAGCTGCCAGTCTGCTTTTGTTTCCTGCCACCGCTGGGGAGCAAACCAGAGCGGAGTGCGTGGGAGGCAAGCGCTCCAGGCAGAGCCCAGGCTGCCCTGCCTACTTTCTTAGTTTATGGATTTACCTGTGCTGTACGTTTCAGACGCAGGTGCACAGGGCATGGGCTCCAGAGCCCCTCAGAACTGCCTTACATGGATGCTCATGGCCGTTATATAAAAATCACATAAAATTTACCAGTGACCTTAGGGATAGCCTCTCCTATACTTAAAAATCACCCTAGATGGCCTGGTGTGGCGCCACATGCCTGTAATCCCAGCACTCTGGGAAGCTGAGGCAGGAGGATTGCAAATTCAAGCCCAGTCCGGGCAATTTAGCAAGACTGTCAAACTTTTGGGTTTTTTTTTTATTTTTGATTTTTTGCGGTCCCAGGGATCAAACTCACGACCTTGTGCTTGCCAGTCAGGCGCTTATGCTACTGAGCTATATCCCCAACCGCTCTCAAAATTTTAAAAGGGCTGGTGATGTAGCTCAGTGGGAGGCCCCGTGTTCACTCTACAATACCATTGTAGGCACAGTGTGCACACTTGTAAACCCGGCTCTTGGGAGGGAGAGGCAGGAGGCCAACCTGGGCTGCAGACTACATAGTGAGTTCAAGGGCCAGCCTGAGCTACTTAGCAACAAGACCCTGTCTCAGAAAAAAAGTTTCCAATACTACAAGAAAAAAAAAAAAAAAAACTCCAGGTTACTTCTAATACTTAATGCGGTGTACATGCTATGTAAATAGTTGTAAATGGTATTGTTTAACGAACTGTATCGTGAAAAACTGCCTGTCCACGTTCAGGGCAGGATATATATATATATATTCAATCTGAGTTTGGTTGAATTTGCAGATGTATAACCTGCTGACCACAAGCTGAATAATATGATATACATGTATACATGGCCTTTTTTGTTGTTTTGTTTTTGAGACAGGCTCTTGCTATGTCCTCAGACTGACCTTGAACTCACTGTAGCCCAGGCTGCCAGAACCCTCAGCGATCCTCCTGCCTCAGCCTCCCAAGTGCTGGGATTACAGGTGTGCATCATCACCATGCCTGGCATACATGGGCTTTTGTGACTGGCTTCTCATTTAGGATAATGTTTTCAAGGTTTCCGTACTGTTATACCAGTTAGCACCTCGTTTGTTTTTACTGCCAACTAGTGTTCTTTGGAGGAACACATCACATTATCTCTACCTGTTCATCACCAGTTGATGAGTCCTTGGTTGTTCCCCTGCCCCCTCAGTACTGGGGAATTGAACCCAGGCTGTTTGCACTGTTACATCTTCAGACCTTTTAAAATTTTTTTAAATTTTGAGACAGAACCTCACTAAGTTGTTAAACTGCCCAGTGGGCTCCAACGTGGTCCTCCTGCCTCAGCCACCTAGACTGCTTGGATTGCAGGTGCGCACCACCACGCGTGGCTTGCTTCTAGCGTTTTAACTGTTATGCTGCTATGAACATTTTTGTACAAACATTTGCGTGGACCTCTGTCTTCATTTTTCATGGGTAGCTAGATAGCTAAGTAGATAGCTAAGAGGAATTGCTGGACCACATGGTAACTCTGTAGCCCCTTAAAGGACCTGCCAGGGCTGGGGATTTAGCTCAGCAGCACAGCGCCTGCCTGGCAAGCGCAAGGTCGTGAGTTTGATTCCCAGTCCCGAAAAAAGAAAAACAGAAAAGTAAACTAAAGGATCTGCCAGGCTGGTTTCCACAGCAGCTCACTCTCCCATTCACACTAGCGGTGTGGGTCAGGCTTTTTTTCCACACTCTCTCCAACACTGTTGATGGCCTTTAGCCATCTTAGGTGGGTGTGTGGTGGTATGGGGGTCGGGGAGCTTCTATTGATTGGCAGTGAGGGTTGAACCCAGGGCCTCACAAGTTCTAAGAACACACTGGACCACTGAACCCCCAGCCTGTTGTGCTTTTGACTTGTGTTTCCCTCTGGCTAATCCCGCTGAGTTACTACTTTTTTTTTTTTCTTTGCTTTTCACATGCAAATTGGCCATTTGTGTCTGTCCTTGGAGAAGGATCTAGGCAGACCCTTTGCCTGCTTTGTTTTGTTTTGTTTGCAACAGGGGCTCACTATGTAGTTCAGGCTGGCCTCGAACTCATGGTGATCCTCCTGCCTCAGCTTCCAAGGTGCTGGGATTACAGGCATAAGCTACCATCCCTGGCCCTTTGCTTAATTTTACGTTGTGTAATTTGTCTTTAGTATTGAGTCTCAAATGCTCTTTATTTATTTAGAGCAGATACATGATTTGCCACTATTTTCACGCTTTCACATTTTTGATAGTGCCCTTTGAACACACAAGTGTTCAGTTTTGATGAAATTCAATTTGTCTATTTTTCCCTGTGTTGCTTGCTCTTTCTGAGCAGATTTTTGAACCGCGGTGACCTCAGACCCAGCTCATCTCTGTGGAGAAGCAGTTACAACTTAGTTGTTATCGGCATGGTCTGCTAACATTTAAATCCCAGCTTGCTTAGCTGTGATATTGGGCAAATTACTCAATCTCCTCATTTGTAAAATAGGGGCAATGGGGGCTGGGGATTTAGCTCAGCGGCACAGCGCCTGCCTGGCAAGCAGGACGTCATGAGTTCGATTCCCGATACCGGAAAAAAATTTAAAAATAAAAAAAAAAAAAATACATAAAATAGGGGCGATAATGTGTACCTCAAAAGCCTTGCACTAAGGGTCAAATAGGTAAATTTATGTAAAGTGCTTCAAAATGTCTAAACCATACTTCTCTCTCTCCCTCTCTCTCTGTCTGTCTCTGTCTCTCTCTCTCTCTCTCTCTGTGTGTGTGTGTATTGGGGATTGAACCTACAGCCTTTGGCCTGAGCTGTCTCTCCGGCCCTTTTTTACTGTTTATTTTGAGCCAGGTCTTGCAAAGCCACTAAGTTGTCTGCTGTGATTATTGTGTTGGTTGCTCCAGCCTTGTTACGGCTTCAGTATGGTGCTGCCACCCTCCGCACGGGTCCCACTACTGTCTCCGATGCCGTACTCTTCAAACTTGGATGGTGTGGCTCCTACCCCAGTGCCCAAGGGTGCCCCTGACGCGCTGTCCCTTTTCTTCCCGCAGGATCGGGGCGCCCGCCCCCCACTAGGCGGAGTGGAGGGGGCTCCCCCCGCCCAATGGGCCTGGCCAGGGCCCTGCGCCGCCTGAGCGGCGCCCTGGAGCCGGGGGACAGCCGGGCGGGCGACGAGGAGGAGGCGGGGCCCGCGCTGTGCCGCAACGGGTGGGCGCCGGCGCAGGGCCCGGGCGCGCGGCGGCGCGGGCGCTTCGTGAAGAAGGACGGGCACTGCAACGTGCGCTTCGTCAACCTGGGCGGCCAGGGCGCGCGCTACCTCAGCGACCTGTTCACCACGTGCGTGGACGTGCGCTGGCGCTGGATGTGCCTGCTCTTCTCCTGCTCCTTCCTCGCCTCCTGGCTGCTCTTCGGCCTGGCCTTCTGGCTCATCGCCTCGCTGCACGGCGACCTGGCCGCGCCGCCGCCGCCCGCGCCCTGCTTCTCGCACGTGGCCAGCTTCCTGGCCGCCTTCCTCTTCGCGCTCGAGACGCAGACGTCCATCGGCTACGGCGTGCGCAGCGTCACCGAGGAGTGTCCTGCCGCCGTGGCCGCCGTCGTGCTGCAGTGCATCGCGGGCTGCGTGCTCGACGCCTTCGTGGTGGGCGCCGTCATGGCCAAGATGGCCAAGCCCAAGAAGCGCAACGAGACGCTGGTCTTCAGCGAGAACGCCGTGGTGGCGCTGCGCGACCGCCGCCTCTGCCTCATGTGGCGCGTGGGCAACCTGCGGCGCAGCCACCTGGTGGAGGCCCACGTGCGCGCCCAGCTGCTGCAGGTGCGGCGGGAGGGGAGGGACCCTGTGGGTGCAGGGTTGTCTGGACAGGTGGCCCCCAGATGGACCTGTGCCGGCCGCTCCAGCTGCCCGAAGCCCCAGGGCAGGCGCGTGCCCAGATGAGGTGGTGGCTTTTTGTGGGTGATGGGTGCCGTTCATTCCACGGCTCAGGTATACAATTCCCAGCACACGCTGGGGTCCTAGCAGTAGCTTTGGGCTCTCAGGCAGGCCCCAAATAGGCTACAGCAGGCACCTGCTGAGCTGCATGAGCCAGTTCTCAGGAGTTCCGGGAGTCCTGCCAAATGCAGGGGACACTTCAGTCCCCAGCTTGGGTCTCAAATTTGCCACAATCCTCCTGCCTCAGCCTCCGGAGTGCTGGGATTACAGGCGTGCACCACCACCCCTGGCTGGAAAGTACTTTTGAATGGTAGATTCCCAGTGACAAGACAGTTTTTACTCTCAGCTTTTACTCAGACCCTGGGGTAGCAGCTTCCTTGGAAGCCCCAAGGGTAATACCTTGTGTTCCTAGATTTGGGGACAAGTCACTCAGACATCTCCGTCCCAACAAACTGGGGACAGCAGCTTCCACGTGGGGGTGGGAGAATGCTAGTGTGGGAGTGTGTGCCCGTAATTCCAGCACCCTGGGAGGCTGAGGCAGAAGAATTGCAAGTTCAAGTCTCCCCCAGGGAACTGAATGAGAGCCTGTCTCAAAATAAAAATAAAAGAGCTGTGGATGTAGCTCAGTGTGAAAGCACCCAGTACCGCAGAACAAAACACATTTTATTTTTTTGAGACAGAGTCTCCCTCTGCAGTTCAGGCTGGCTTTGAACTCACTGTGCAGCCCAGGCTGGCCTCGAGCTCATGGCGATCCTTTTGCCTCAGCCTCCCGAGTGCTAGGAGGCATGAGCCGCCATGCCCAACCCTCTGTTATACTGAAAGCCATTTTTCTATCCCTCTCCTCCAATTCCTGGCCGGATGTCATCCTTATCTTCTGTGTCTCTGACTTCCTGTCTGTCTTCACTCCTATGGCTCTATGCCAACGTCACTCTGTGCTTGCCCCCCCCATGTTTCTGTCCTTGAACCCTGTCTTTGTCCTCCTCACTTCATCTCTGGGTCTCCTGTCTTCCCCCCCATCCACGTTCTCACCCTCTCTCTCTCATCTCTGCTCTTTGCTTTCTTTTTCTCTGCATTTCTCTTCCTTCCCTCCCACCCTCTTTGCCCCTCTCGTCTCTGTCTTTGGCCCTTGGCCTTTTGCACAGCCCCGTGTGACCCCGGAGGGTGAGTACATCCCCCTGGACCACCAGGACGTGGACGTGGGCTTTGACGGAGGCACCGACCGCATCTTCCTCGTGTCCCCCATCACCATCGTGCACGAGATCGACTCCGCCAGCCCTCTGTACGAGCTGGGACGTGCTGAGCTGGCCCGGGCTGACTTCGAACTGGTGGTCATCCTCGAAGGCATGGTTGAGGCCACGGCCATGACCACACAGTGTCGCTCGTCTTACCTCCCTGGGGAGCTGCTTTGGGGCCACCGTTTTGAGCCGGTCCTCTTCCAGCGTGGCTCCCAGTATGAGGTGGACTATCGCCACTTCCATCGCACTTACGAGGTCCCAGGGACACCCGTCTGCAGCGCCAAGGAGCTGGACGAACGGGCCGAGCGGGAGGCCCACAGCCCCAAGTCCAGCTTCCCCGGCTCCCTGACTGCGTTTTGTTATGAGAATGAGCTTGCTCTGAGCTGCTGCCAGGAGGAAGATGAGGAAGAGGAGACCAAAGAGGAGACTGGGGCAGAGGCAGAAGATGGAGCTGCCAGCCCCCGAGTCCTCACACCAACCCTGGCTGTGTCCCTCCTCCCGTGACGCAAACTGATGTCCCTGTCCCCACTTGTGCCCCCTCCCCAGAGGTAGCAGGATGGAGAGATCAGCCCTCTGCTGGGATGGGGGCAGGTGTTTCCCAAGACCAACAGGTCCACTGGGTAAAGCTGCCAGGCCTGGTGGACCCACCATGGACATACTGGACCTTAATTTCTCTGCTTCTGTGCTTCCTCCTGACATCACTTTATGAGCCCAATTCCTGAGTGTTAGCGGAGCTCAGGGATCCAGAATTCTGTACCACCAGAGAGGCAAGAGCTGGTGGTGCTAGATTCCTCCACACGGCTGGGCCTGGTTGTTGAGCAGGGTCAGAAATCAGGGATACAGATAGCAGTGGCGGAGGAAGTCAGCAGCTGCTGGACAGCCATAGAGATGGAGTCTGCAGGTCTAAGTTGACGTCATGTTCAGGGGGCTTCTTGGGTGACCAACTGAGGGGCAAATAATTTGTTCAAGGCCAGGAAGACCACCCCGATGGGCCAAAAGCAAACAGTTGTGACTACATGTCAAGAAAAGACCTTGTGGTTTAGAAAGCCCAAGAGTTGCGATTCTGTGAGTTGAGGTGGACCACATAGGCAAACACTGGTGATTCTAGAACAGGTTGACCCAGGGAGCTGAACAACTCCAGAAACCACAGCTACACTTCTAGAATGCACAAAGCAGCAAGGCCTGGGTTTAGGACAAAAGTGACAGATCGGGAGTTGTTGAAATGAAAGCACTTCTGACGTTGAATGAGAACATCTGGCTGAGGGCATAAGTGCAGCTTCTCAACCGTCCACAGCGTGGTTTCTGTTTGAAGTGCCATTCTAGAACGTGCAAAGGAATGAAGATTCTGGGCTCTAGACTGGTCAGTGTCAAGGAAGGCGTGGTAATTCTAGATGACTGCGATCTGCTGGCTCCAGTTTGCCCAAGGAAATTGAGAATCTTGATGATCCTAAAAGACTTGTGGTTCTGTAATGCCAAAGAGAATCATGGCTCCAGGGATCCAGAGTTGTCCAGCCCTGAAGCCTAGAAGTTCTGATCACCTCCGGATGGACTGCTCGGCAATTCTAGGACGGGGACATAAGACTTGATGTGTAGCGTTTCTGGGCTGACCTAGCAAATGTGGTCTCGGGTGAGACCTTGTAGGTCACAGAGCTTATTAATGTGCAAGGGAAGGAGGAGGCCCAAAGCTCCTGTGAGTCTAGAATGTTCTGGAATACTACACCTAGTGACGTGTGTCTGTTTCATAAAAATATTATACATATGTGTATCATATATATATAATATATATACAGTTATCTATTTTTTCCTCATTACTACAGCAAGATTAGAGATTGAACTGAAGTTAATTGGAATGGAGTTCTTTTCAAAGATGCAGGAAGCTTTGTTCTGTGCCCCAACTTTTTGTGTGATTTTGGGCAAATCGCTCCCCTCTGTTTGCCTCCGTTGCCTCGTCTGTGAAAACGGGGCTTTGGGGCGTGAAGTTCTCCAAGGGCATTTGCAGCAGGATGATTGCTCGCCTTGTGGAGGGGAGGGTGGGGTGCAGGTTCTACGCATTTCCCGATCCCATGGCCTCCCAGGGGCAGCTGGGATGGGAGATGATCTTGACAAGGCTGGCTCTGAACTAGTTTGTGAATCGCAGGCCAAGCAAAGGGTGGCATGGACTGTGGCTGAGGGCCATTGTCAGCACCTCCAGCTCCCCGCTCAGGGTAATGGTGGGGGAAGGGGCAGCTCTGAATACTAGGGGTCTTCCCACTGTGTGGAAAAGGGATGTTTCAGGGTGGGCTTGTCCTCAGATTAAAGATCTGGCCACCCTGGCGGGTGTGTCTGAGCGTGTCTCTGGGGCACGGGTCCTGGGGCCCGGCCTTCACCCACGCTGTCATCCTCCTAAGTGGCTGGCAGGCTGGGAGCCAGCCGCAGAGGAAGCCCGTGCCAGGGGAGGATGTGTTCCCACCTTGTGTTCCCAGCTGAGGGCAGGCACTGTCATTGGCCTCCAGCCCACCCAAGAGCCGCATCAGCCCAGGTCCCCTCTTCTGGCACCCTCATCTCTCTTTATCCTTCAGAATCCCCGAGTAATAACCGGATGGGATTAATTAGCTGCTGCTCTTCCAGCCCAGGCCATCTGGGGCCGGGACTGGGACAATGAAAACAGCAGTGGGGAGGGGTGTTAGGTTGGGGGCGAAGGGGCAGGGGCTGATTCTGTTTGGGAGGAGGTGGGCAGTGCTGGCACAGCCTGGGTCTCCACTGGGCAGGGCAGGGCCTGGGCCACTCATAAAGGTCAGTGAGGGGATTAGGAGGCTCCGTGTCTAATCCAGCAGCTTAACCGGGCCTTGGGCCTGAATCCGTCCCCACCTGCGCAGGCCAGGACGGCAAATGAGGACGAAACCCGGACACCACTTTAGCCCCCAGCGTAGTCCTGGCGCTTGACGGGATACCCGGGTTCCCCATCCTAGCCAGGACCCTGCCCAATGCCCCTTCTTCAAGGAGTCACCAAGGGCCTGAGGACTGAGAAGGGCCTCGGACACGGGCCGGGTTGGAGAGGAGAGGTTTAAATAGGGCAAGAGGGTGAGGACAGGTGTGCGGGCGTGGGGGAGATGCAAAGAGAGGGGGCCGGGCCGGGGGTGGCAAAGGAAGGGGAGCTGTTTTAGGGGTAAGATTTAGGGATGGGAGGGGTCTTAGGAGGAGGCTTATTTGGAGTCTAAGAGCAGAAGGTGCCAGGAGGCGGAACCCGTGCTTTCACTATGCTTGCCCTTCCCTTATTGTCCCATTGTCCGTGACAGGTGCCAAGCAGCACGGCACTGGCAAGAAACAGTAAATCTTTCATTTCACCAACCCTAGACTCGGAAGAGGCTGAGGCGGATGGGGAGAATACAGGAGGTATTAAGGAAAGGACCTGGAGATAGTAGAGGGCTGAGAGGACAGGGAAAGACCCAGAAAAGGAAGGCAAAAGAAAGACCTTAGCTGCTCTCGGTTGCATGGCAACCGCTGCGGTCAAAAGCCAGCGTGGCCTACTTAAGAGGTGTGGCTACTGGAAAGAGCTTGTGGTTGAGGCCACGCCCCTGGCAACAAGCGTACAAGTACCGCCCACTAGCAACGCATCCTGAAGGTGGAATCCGGCGGACCTAGTCAAGGGCCAGAGCCTTGGCGCAGGCGCAGTGTTCTCTGCCCTGCACAGCCCCACCTCCTCTTAACTCCTTTCTGAGGCTTCTCATTGGAGGATAAGCCTGTCGAGGGCTTTCTTTTGTTTCGGAGGCGGAATCTGGCGCCCTGCCCGCACACCGATTGGCCCCGCAGGCCGTCTGCAGCCAGCCCCGGACATTGCTACGTCGGGTTCTCGCGCGCCGATTGGTTTTGGAGGGCGATCCTTTGGGTCGGGGGCGGAAACGCCGAGGAGGCCCGCAGTGGATTGGACGGTGTCGCACGAGGGGCGGTCCGCACTGGCCGGTCGGTTGGGCAGTGAAAGGAGAGTCTTTTCAGCGCTGAGGACTGGCGCTGAGGAGGCGGCGGTGGCTCCTGGGGCGTTTGAGCGGGCTCACCCGAGCCCGCGGGCCAGCGCGGATCCAGGCCCGACCGGCGGGACCGCCCCGGACTCCCCGCGGGCCTTCCTAGCCGCCATGGAGG